CACAATATCAGAATTGAGCAGCACAGTTGACATAGTCAATCGAAGAGATTCATGAGAGCTTGAAGATAGAAACAAGCGGAAGCCTCATACAGTAAAATCATCGGGAAGCTCAGGCACAGGAATGAATGCATATCGCAGAAACATCAGAAGAACCAAAACGTTTGCTGCCTGGAAGAGGAACAGAAAAACGTGGTCGATCCGCGAGAAGATCTTGTTCCACTCCTTTTCCACCTGAAGTATTCCGAAATAGGGGTCAGAACTGATTCTCATTCTCATGTAGTGTGGCAGGATCAATATCAGACTGCCGCTAAGAAGCTATCAAATCGCAAAGCAAATGCTAAACCTCGATAGTTATGACTGTTATCAAGCCTTGCACAAGGTTGAGATAGCGAATTCTCCGACTAGGGGACTCATGTCATCAACTAGGGGAACATTTCAGCCATTAGGCTGCGTTCATACTTTGCGGCAACGTCCACCAGTGACCAATAGCGCCCACCGGCGTTCGCAGCGCCCGGCAGTGTCAGCGACCAGGAAAGTATAGATATCGATCTAGCGCTGCCCAGCATCGCTAGCGTCTATGAGCAACTGCCAGCGTCTGGAAGCGTCCACCAGCTACCAGCTGCGTCTCGAGCGCTAGGAAAGTACTGGTATCGAAATGGCGTCTGCCAGCCTCTAACAGCGACCAGGAGCACCCGGAAGTAGAGGGTGTGGGGCGATAGGAGAGTAGCAGCCGGCTGGTAGAGAGTGTGGCGCGACAGGAAGATAGGAGACATCTGTTGCCCTCCCATTGCACCATGCTCTCTACCAGCGGACAGACGCTGGCGGACACTGAATCGATATCTATACTTTCCTAGTCGCTGACGCTGCCAAACGCTCGGAACGCTGGTGGACGCCATTGGTCGCTGGTGAACGGTGCCGCAAAGTATGAAAGCATCCTCATGAACATTGAGTGGACGTCATTGTGTGGGCAGAATTTGCACTCGAATGAGCATTAAAGATGATCCAAAATAACACCCCAGTCCTCCCCAAGCGTATTATATGTGCCACGTTTGTTGAAGATATTTTTTGATATTTTTTAGACTTTCCACGATCATTTTTGAAAGATTCGGATTGTTCGTTCATTTACTATTTTTTTTCTATTTTTTTCCATTTGCTTTTTATAAGAAAGATCCCTCGTCTACATACCCGAAGGTTCCATTGCATGCGTTCTATACGTTCTCGGTATGTCCGCTGAGCTCGAGAGACATCAATCAGTTGAGTGGTAAATTGCCTTGCCAAGATCGGGAAATCGTGGCCTGAAATAGAGTAATGAGGTATACACATCTACATGAATTGCAAATTTCCATTTTTGAAGAATGCTCTTCGGGTAGCACGATAGCAACAAAAAGTGGGGGTTGCAGGGTGGCACCACACCACTACCACGGATTAGAGGCCAGACAAATGGCCAAGTTCGTCCATGTTCCATCGAGGCCAGCTGTGTGGTCAGGCATGTTTGTTGGTTTGAAGACAGTTCCTGCGATCAAGTGATCAGTGAAATGCCTCCGTACATTTGACATCTAGGTCCGCACTCACGTAGCGTGTAGCACTTCGGCCTTTCGAAAGGGCGATATGAAGTTGCCACAGACACTTGCTAATACCTTGAGCTTCTTGGTTTATAAACAGGCGCAAGCCAGCGCAATTTGTAAGATTGCGGAAGAGTCAACAAGCAAAAATTCTCTGCAACAAGCATATGAAGTTGTCCTGCGACGCTGCATACAACATACTCCTAGTTCACCGTGTAACTCGTTGTCTCCAAGACTGAAAAGAATAATTTGTGCCGGAGGCGGTGTCTGTGTGCGCTGCTTTATCTCGGCCCATTCGAAAAGAGGTACACACTATACGAGGCCGGACTTGAATGTTAAATGCACAGAGGCATTTCACTGTTCCCTTGATCGCGGGAACAGTCTTTAAAGGCAGTTGGCACGATATTTGACACGCCGCTTGTATAGTGTGGGGAAAATGGCGAAAAAAACGAAGTGAAACGGTCGAAACAACCTGGGCAAGAAAAGTTGAGAACTCAAAGCAATTTTGGACGCAGCTTTCCCGTAGATTTTAGATTTAGATTTAGATTTATTGCATGCGCATAAGCACATGGAGGTAGCAAGTGCCAAATAATGGACTGCGTTAGAGCAAACTAAACAAAAACATGAAGATTTCACAAACATTTGGAAATTCCCAAAGCGAACAAAGAATGAATTAGTAGTTTAATAATAAAAATAAAAAGAAACAGCATATTAGGTGGCCAACCTTCCAAAAAGATGTCGCCTAACCAGAAAGAATAGGTATACTTAATACCACATTGCGCCAATAACCGCCTACGGTAGCGTTGCAGCTGCCACGTAGGATACTCACATACCTCCATGCACACTGCAAGCCTTAGCATACAATCTTCTTCGCTTCATTATTTTGCTTAGCAAATGAGGCAATAAGAGCGTCAGGTACGGTCGTCCAGTTGTGGACGGGCGGGCGTGGTGGGCGTTCGGGTCGGTACGTTGTAGCTTGATAGGGGCCCTTATGAGTTTTCCCTGGAAAATGGCGCTGCGCAGCGCCCCTGCCTCATCTCTCATGCCCAGGCGCATGTTAATCTACTTTTAGGGATTTATCATTGCCAACTGCTTATTAAAGCTCACAGCCGATGTAACAGCAAGCCACATTCATTGCTATTGCGAGCCACATACCCAGACACCAGAGAGCGCATTAGGAGAAGAAAAAAGGTCAGAGCTTCGCCTTCTTCGCCGAAAGACGGGCTATTTCCAGTGGACGACTGGAGCCTTGTTGCTCTCTCTAAAGCGGTCGGCAGTTGCACCTACAGGGGATAAAGGGCGGCTTTGTGATAAGGGGAAACATTCCAGGTTAGCCGTGCGCTCTGCGCGACCACGTCCTGCTCCGCTGCATGAGTGCGAATGTTCCTAAAGCTGTTTCAGTATATTGAGCGCTAGGCGCTGTCATACGTTCCTCGGGAAGTGCAAAACTCAGTTACCTTTGAGCATCGTTGCTTCTGTTGTCAGAATTCCTTGCGACACGCAACAAGCTAACAGTTCCTACAGTAAAATTTGAATTGAGTTTTTATTACTGAGCTTTCCATCGCCATATTCCCCTGAGGAAACAGCTGTCCTCATGTACCTCATCTGGGCGCATTCATCTCTCTAGGAAACGTGAAAGTTTCAAATTGGATTTGCATTGTGACCATCACGTCATAACATGCCTAAACGCTTGGCATTTTCTTCTGCAAAGATAAAGCGAGGGGTCAGATCGATCTCGCTCATGACCTCATGCACATGGAACGAGTAGATGGGTGTTTGGGGGTCTACAACTGCTCCGGCTTATGTTACAGTCACAACCAGAGAAAGGCGGAGCGCAGCTGAGGTGGGGAACGATAGTTCCGAAACCGGACCAGCCACCTGCTTGTCACAGCTTTTCGTTATTTTTAGTTTCATATTATGCATTGCTTTTACGTTGCATTACGACCCCCACAATTATCATCTCTGCAAACTTCTCGTTTTTTTTAGAATGACGTGCGATTCCGCTTCTGCGAGCCCAAGTTTTTCGCGAAACAGTAGGCAGGCGATTTCGGATCTTGCAAGATGTTTCTTACCTAGGCAGGGCAGAGCAGTCATGAAGCGCATGCTCGCCTTCTGCCTGACAGTTTAATGCAGGAATGTTCTTAGACAGAAATGGAATAGCTTCTTTCCCCAAAAAACGACTTTTACTGCAAGCCCATCGCACAGAAAATACTCTCGTTGCAGAAAAGTTCCAAAATAACCAGGTACCTTTGAATTTCTGCGCACTCGCGCTTTGAAGCCTTTCATACCGGCAAAGTTTTTTTGGTTGCACGGAAGTGGATCTCTTCCACAGGACTGCCCTCTTACGTTCCGTTGGAGACATTGGAATGCATCAAAAGAACGATTCCTTTTTGCGCTGACAATCGCAATTCAGACAAACGGCTTCAATTTCAAGCTAACAGGAGTTGCGCCACGGACTGGATTTTCTTTTAGAAGTGCAGTGGAGCTGAAGGGCTCATTGACTCGTAAAAACAACGTTCTAAGGTAGGTGATGCAGCTCTGTCTCGGCATTAAACAGTCGTCTTCATATATCTGAATGTTGAACACATAAAAGAGGCGCCAAAATTTATTGCGAAAGACTCAAAAGATTCAAAAGAATCCAAAAGTTTTCACAAAAATTTTTTATATTGTTTATAATCTTTCTTCTTCGAATATTTCGGTGCCTAGCACCTTCTTCAGCGACCTGAAATACTACAGTTAGCCACCTCCACCGGAATCCTGAATCTTCAGTGGTGCCTCCTTCTGGACTCTGACCTGGTCTGCTGCCTCCAGTATCTATACCCCAGTTATGACGAAGCGTGCTAAGGCTACTCGAAATATTCGAAGAAGAGAGTATAAACAATATAAAAATTTTTGTGAAAACTTTTGGATTCTTTTGAATCTTTTGAGTCTTTCGCAATAAATTTTGGCGCCTCTTTTATGTGTTCAACATTCAGATTGCAATGAGGCTCCGGGACAGCACTATTTTGAGTCTCTTCATACTTCAATAAATTTCTCCATTATAGCAGTAGTTTAATTTTCTTCCATAACTTCA